TCTAAGCGCGTCAGCGTAAACCGTTGTAATTTATTGCGAGATAATTAACATCAATCGCCAGATGATCGTATATATATATATATATAAAAGATTGCCGCAACAGTCTGTTTCATCCAAGAGGAATCATGCAGGTGACTGACAAATTTCGAAAAGTGGGCGGCTTAAATGTTTACGGTCGGAAACGTGGGTATGTGGGCGTCAAACACTGCATGCATTACTTCCATTATTATCATTGTTTACTAGGAATTTCTTTTTATGAGTACATGTCGAAACTATTTCCGATTTTTTGTTAAGTAAAAATTGTTTGTTTTTTCCTTCAAAATACAGAGTTTTTCCTCTATTTTCTAAACACATATTACATCTTTTTTATCCTCCCGTATGAGAAACAGCGTGTTTTAGTATCGACCAGGTTATGTCGAAATCTTGTTTGTTTTCTTTTAATTTCCAAATATATTTCGAACGTTCTGTAGCGTTTGAGTACTTTTTGTGATTGAAAGACCTATTGTTTACTGTTATTTTCAAGGTGTTGTTAAAAACTTTGGCGAGCGAATTCTAGGGCTGCATACTCGTTTTTTTTTTCAAAACAAAGACAATTTAATAAGGCACTATTTCAAAATCGTATGTGAGCACAAATTCGCTAATATTTTGGTCTTTGAGATCCATAATATCAAGAAAAATAAGCATGGATATAGGCAAGGGATTTTTCGGCTTATTCTGACCGTAAGTATATGCTAGAATAAAAACAAATGTTTTTGTTTCAAAATCCAAGACAGAATTAAACATCGACAAAATATATTGTAGTCTCTGTTCGAAACTTCCCATTCCCTTTTTATTTGCTTGTGTATAGCCATGTACTAGACAGCAAAATTTAATATTACATTTATGATAGTTTCTGTTAGATTTCTGCATGTTTTTAAAAAGCAAAGGAATTCAAGGCATTTTTTCAAAACATACAAATTCATTAATATATTGTTGTCTTCGATATAGTAAGATAAATAGGCAATGAATATGAAAGAAGTTATTCGGTTTATTCTGACAACAGGCAGTAACGAGGGCAGTATAAAGCTCAAAATATACAAAGTATAAAGCTCAAAATATTAACAAGTTTGTTTGTGTTTCAAGGCGGATTGCTTTTTCAGTCGTACGAACTAAACGTCCAACAGTCAGTTGACAATGTTATAGTTTTTGTTCAAAACATGCCTTTTGCCTTGTAAAAACTGTAAAATATTTAAAGAAACTTACCGAATCTCGACGTTTTCAGAAAGGCCAGGGGTGGAAAAAATATTTTACATTCTGGGACCGCCAAAGCGCAATAAAAAATTTTCTGTGATAAATCAAGTAAATCAATACTTGGACACTGTAACTGTATAATACTAACAAGTTGTCAAACTGAATGTCATGCTATATTTTCGCAGAAAAAAATAATATTATTTCAGTGACAGTGCACTGAAAATCTTAATAATACTTTTAGGAATATAACAGAACTAATTCAGATAACATCAGGGGTCTGATCCTGAGGTAAATTTACAGATGCAAAAAAGGGGGGATCTTGGAGCATGCTCCGCCAGAAAATTTTGAAAACCCAGTGTCTCAGATTGGCTAAAATGAACGGTGCGGAAATTATATGTCATATTTGTCCCGCGATGAATGCATCTAATTTACTGGTTCATATGCGGAAATATCTCGAAGCTGGTCGTCTCCCCAAAGCCCGATTTTACCGCACTTCCGGTTTTGAACGTTTGTTAATAGTTTAATAAATTACTAAACTTGCAGCTATTGAGCTGAATTATAAATGTATAAAATGTACAAGCTGAATTAGGGACCCGATTCATTATTTATGACTGGGGGTGGGCTGGCAAAAAAAGGGGATGGGTCATGAAGTATTTTTGACCGAAAAAGGGGGGCCCACCTAAAAATATTGGTTCAGAAAGGGGGGGTCCAGTTATTTATTATAGTGAAGAAAAATTTAACAAGTTGTCAAACTGAATGTCATGCTATATTTTTGCAGAAAAAAAAAATATTTAAGTGACAGTGCACTGAGAATCTCAATAATACTTTTAGGAATATGACAGACCTAATTCAGATAACATCAGGGGTCTGATACTGAGGTAAATTTACAGATGCAAAAAAAGGGGGGTCTTGGGGCATGCTCCACCAGAAAATTTTGAAAACCCAGTGTCTCAGATTGGCTAAAAATGCATTAGCCATACAACATTTGTTACATCATTCTATAATCTATACATTTATACACTATCCGACTAATTTCGTACTATTAAGATGGACTTGCATTTCTGAGGTCATACCTGCAGTACAGGTAGCATTCTTTTTATTGGTTAGAGTTTTCCCTCTGAATTTATCCTTTTATCTAAATTTTTACAATTATATTTTTCTTTCTTGGGGAAATATTTTCTGGGAATTCAAAAAATTTTCTGGGACCAATGCAATGGTCCCGTGGTCCGATACTTTTTTCACCCCTGAGAAGGGCTTTAAGCAACGTTAACAAGAACAGATATGGACAAACACTAAAAGTTTAGCAGTCCGTATATCGTCCTTTTTTGTCAAGTTTTAATTAATCAACAAATTTCACAAAAACAATCTTCACATAGTCTGTTTCCGCAACATAAATACAATAAATTTTATTTTCATTCAAACTAAGCAAGGTTAGCTCATTTTTCTAGGTCAAAGTGTGTGCAGGTGCCTGAGTAACTCTCGGAGATCGGAGGTCCAATTCCTGGATGCTGTAAAACACAGCCAAACAATTGCAAAACCAGTTTGAAAAGTAATTTCGCCAGCCAAAGTTGTCACCCCAAGCCCCTAAGCCCGATTTAAGGGACAAGATTTTTAACCTTCAAAAAGGTGTTAAATTTTAACCCCCGAAATGGTGTTAAATTTTAACACCGAATTATGGTGTTATTATAACCCCCAAAAAGGATTATTTTAGACTTTTTTTAACCCATGATTTGGGGGTTAAAGTAACACCTCGAAAATAACAGTGAATTGTTACGGTATCGCTCTTTAAATGTGGTTGATGTCATGCCGATGTTGTGCTTTCACTGTTTGTGTTGCTTGTTGTGACAGTTGCCTCGTACACTATATCCTAAAGCCTGTTTTCCACTTCAACCGGTATCGTAACTAGAGCTGTGCGGTTCCAAAAATTTTATCTCGGTTTTGAACTCATTTATGTAGGCCTATGTTTCGAGCATTTTTACTAAATAGATGAATTTATGCTTTTGTAAGTTTGTATAAATCTCTGAATATTTTAAAATAACAATTGGAATTTATTTATGAAGATGTAATATTTCTTAGTTTTTAAAAAAATTTAAAGCAAGTTCACAAAAATAACTATCACAACTAAAATATCAACTATTTGAGCACTTAGTACAGTGCCTATTGTGCACAAAGAGCACAATCTTGTTATTTTCCAAACATTTCAACCTGCAATCACGTGGGCGTTAAACGGGAAATTAAAACCGAAACTACCGGTTTTGTGCGTATAGTTTTTCGGTGCTGAAAAAAGTACCGGAATTAAGAACCGAATTTTTCGGTTAATTAACCGCACAGCTCTAATTGTAACGTACCGTAGCATTTTCTTTTGTGTCGAAGTCATTAGTTCCACACTCGCCCAGGAAACAAAGAAATACGCTACGTTTCGGTACGATTGAAATGGAAAACTGACTTTATAGTCTGGCATTTTTCCTGTAGTGCATAGCCGCGTTCCTACAACTGTCTGTGTGCTCGCTCTGTGGCACGTTTTTCCTACTTATACGTGCATTGTGTGGAGTAATGATGGACTTCACATTGTTCATGCAACAATAGGTGACCTTAACTGTGTTTCTGTTAAAAATTTTGTGAAGTTTGTGGTGAGCGAGAAATGTTTGTCAATCAGGCTGAGAAAATTGCGTCCTATGTTGGTTTTGACACTCTTCCTGAAAGGAGGGTTAAACCAAATGATGCTGCGTTGCCTATTTTTGCGTGGTTGTTTCTTTCATGTAGCCTAGTTTGTGATCGAAATTACTGTGACGTGGTGTATTTTGATAAAGAGGAGCAGTCTCCTGAAATGTTCAAACAGCCGTCTAAACTATTTAAGAAAAATTTTCACGTTTAAGACAAGTTGTATGTTGTAGTATTTACATTTAAACGTATATTTTTCGACGAATAGCTGAGCATATGTGGAGCATTTGAATCGAAACATATAGCACTGGCCAGTGTTTCTGAAAGTGAGTACATTTTCTATGGTTGGCACTATGTCAATTGAAGTCAATTCACCGTATTTTACTATCTTTAGTATCAATAGGGTGAATTTTTCAACTTTTTGGGTAGTGTTTCAACTTTTTGGGTCGTGTTATCTTCGAGAATGTTTTGGCTTTTGCTGTTGTATGTAAGCCCATGTAGCAACATCTTACTTACTAGCTACTTTCAAGGGCAGCCAAAGTTAATTTGCACCATCGCATATCAAATCGACCAAAAGTAGGTTGTACATTGCGAAGAAATGTGGAATTGTAGCTGCTTCATACCGGAGAGGGCTGGGAGAAGCACTTTGGATCAAACGATGAAGAACGTCGTAAAAACTGGAATAAAAATCCAGGCATTCGCTTGCATTTGAGCCATTCGTCTCGAGATGCAGATAGTTGAATAAGAACATTTTCAAATAATAGGCAGGAATTGTTTCTCCATTGAATGTAGGAATTAATGTGTTAATATCGCGACAGAACTTTAGGCATTTGTAAAGTGCGACCTGTTTTCTAGTTAAATTTTTCAACATTTGAAATTCTGAAAGCGAAAACGAAGGTCGCCACATACCATTATGTCTCGTGTGCGGAACAACGTGAATACGGTTATCAAGCAATTTTCCAACACTGTGTTTATGATATCTTGGCAGCTGTATCTCATTTAGAACTAGTGGTACTCCCACGGTCAAATCAATTTCGATTTCATATGCTTGTATTTTTCTCCGCACCAATAAATTGTAATATTGATTCCAACTTTGGTGACTTTTATACCATTCCTCATATAAGGCTCGTCCTCAAATCGAATATTCTGGTATTTGCTTTTATCCAAGAGAGAAGCAGCTTTCCGTACCAAAATTGTGAAGTGATCCTTCAGCTTTAAGGGAGAAAGAGCAGGTGAATCTTTATGACGACAAAGGTTTAACCACAATTCCCGACATTCTTTTTTTTTAACAAAAAGTTTTGATAAAAACAGAAAAGAATTATCGTATTCACAGTTTCCTCGCAATCCCACAAGCTCCATTAAAAAGTCAAATTCGTCAGGTAACCACATTTTCGTTCCTTCTACACTACTCCCTGTCCACAAAAGTTTACTCTCGAATCTCGGATCAATTTCTGAGCATTTCTGTACAAGATCTGTCATCAAACGAAATACTTGTTTTGCAATTAAGCAATGCTCTTCCTGACATTCTTCAACCAAGTGAAATTCACCAACGCTGTTTTCTTCGCACAACTCCAGCAATGACGTCTTGGTAAGCCATTTTACAATACTTTTGTTTCTTTCTCGTTCGGCTTCAATCAATCTAATTCTTTCATTGTGCTCATTGTATATCGTTGTTGTGTATGGCGTCTTCGGTGTCCCATTCTCACACGCTTGGGAAGAAGGTACGTCTTCTCTGACTGGTTCCATTATATGTTAATAGAGAAAAGTTAATATAGTGAAAGTAAATTTCGTACTTTTACTAATTACTTTTAGTAATACACTCGAATTTCTAAATTGTGTAAAATGCAAGTAAAATATAACATTCACTTCCATTGCTTATAAATAAAGAGACTGAGAGACAGGAAATGTACAGGAAATATTAAGTGTTCTGTTTATATTGGTTGCATGCAAAATCGAAATGAAATGTTGTAATAGTCTAAAAAAATTCAA